GTTTGCATAATATTGTAATATCTCTTTCTCATATCTATATAATATCTACATAAAAGATATAGCTATTTTCTGTTTAGGAAGTATTGGTTACCCTTATACTAATATCTTTAAATAATACCCTTAAGTCCCACTTTTTTTGGTTACTACCTATTTGTTCTCTCTATGAGCAGTATTAGACATAGCTAATAACTTCTTCATCTTTCTTCTCTCCCAGCATCTAACCTGAAGTTATATCTTTTACTTTCAGACAACAGCTATAAAGCTATAAGAAAGTTTAATATAATTTTCATAAACTTTCCCTACTCTTCCCCTATTTTTTGGTTGTTTTACCAACTCTACATTGTCAGAGCATAGAACATGTGATACTCTCTCCGTTAAAACCATCCTTGAGTCTCAGTCCCTCGGATACATGTGTATTGCTTGCTCATGACTGTTCCTCGTGTCAGAATCTCTACTGGAGTGGCAACTTCCAAGCTTCTTACATGCTAGACGCAAAACTGTAAGTCCCTCACGTCCTTACATCTCTTCCTTCATTTCCTTTGGATTTCTTTTCTGTCTTTCTTTTTTTAATTTTCACTTTTCCATCCTCTGTTACTCTGAAGGCATTACCTGTTCTTTCTAGTTCAGTCTCCATTTCTAAAATTAGTCTTTCTTTTATTTACAATTCTCTCCTGTTACCTTTCAGCTCTTTTCAAATCTTTCTCTTCTCTACTCACCTTATTTCTGAGTTTATAATTTATGCTATTCTGTCACAGTATCTCTCATTTCCTGAATTTTAGCTTATTTTGAAACAACAGCTAACAGTTGTAACTCTGGTAGACCTGTATTACCTATAAATATTATTCTGCTCTTTATTCTCTCTCTCTCTTTGACATATAAAATGACATATACATATATAAGTTATATATATAAAGGACAATTGTAAATAATTATATAAATTAGATTATTTCACTTCTATCTTATATATGTTATACATGATTACATATAAATTATACATGATTATATATAATTATATATGTATGTATAATTGTTATATAGTACATAGTAAAGAGAGAGAGAGACAAATAAGGAGCAGAATTATGTCTACAGGCAATAAAGGCATACCAGACAAACAGATCAAAACTGAGATGAGCTTTCTTGTACCCTTAGGAAAGGAGGGTGAGTCACTGTGGTTTTGTAGCTTCCTGGCTCTAAAGCAACTTGTTCTGCTGTTTTCAAGTAGTGTTCGCAAACAGCCTTTTATTTTATGGGATCTATTGGCTCCATTTCCCTTCCCCACTTTTACTCGGTTCTTCTCCATACTTTGCCCCTATCACCCCTGCTCAATCCAACTTGATTCCCAACAATTTCTCCTCACAGCGGGGCTTTGTCTAGAAGGGAGCTTTACGTGGTTAGTTTCCAAAGTCCATAGGCCAAGATGGTTCCAGAATATCCATCCTGACCATGGTTCCTTTCCTCCCTCCTAGTTTTGGCTGCTGTTTTTACATGGGCCTACCATGCTTTCCAGTGAGTACTTGTTACTGATTTTCAGAGACAAACAGAAATTGTGTTGCCTTTCCTCCACTTCCTCCTATATACACTTACTGATACCATATGTGGCAACAACTTGTCACCTAGTTTGTTTTAGATATTCTATTGTCTGTGGGTCTGAGGTTTGCCATCTGCATAGCTCTATCTGATTGAAGGGGAAATTCAAAGAGATTAAAAAGTATGCCTCTCTGATAACTTCTCATTTCTCCTTAAACTTTTAATAACAACAAGGTGGGTCTGTCTGAAAGTGACTAGTTCCTAAGAGCAAAAACTTTTCAATAGTAAAATATAGAAACAAAAGTGAAAAGTCATTCATATAAAGAGTGCACAGTAAATATCCATAATTATGATTATGAATAACTAATTAAAACATATCAGATTTAATGTTTACATTTTCTGCAGGAAAATCTATGCTAAAATTATGAACCATTCTCTTTCAGGCAGAGATCAGCCTGAATAGATATCCAAGGAGCATGAAACAGCCTTGTGAAAATGTAAGTCCTGCCTTTGATTAAAAGATTCTGTAGCTTAATATATTTCTGGGAACATTTCCAGGAACACATATATAATTTATAGTGACTGACTACTCACTGTCAACAATAATTTTGTCTCCACACCTTTATAATAAATGCAGGAGACACCAATTTGAGGAAAAAAAGGCCGTCTCCCATTTTCTACCAATGAAAGTCAAATCAAGATATATCTGCATGAAACACATCTGTACCCAGGCTTATATAACTTAAACATGAACTGAGATCTAGAGTTTTGACTCCTTGTTATTATAGAAAATTAAAAGTCTATCTCATAAAAAATATAATTGGCCTAAGACCAGTGGTTCCCTTTCAAACTTAATAATCCACTAAATTTTATGGATCACTTACTAGTTCAAGGCACTGTGCTTGGTACTACGAGATAAAAAAATAAATGAGAGATGCTCTGGTCCTCAGGGAATTCAGAAGCTGGTGTATATATCTGAGACCATACACACGTATGTATTCAGGAAGTGAAGGTAGCAGAGATATAAAGCAGCATTAAGCTCAACTGGCAATATAACAGAAGTATAAACAAAGCACTTAAGAAGCACAGAGAGAACTCAGAGCATTTGGAAAAAAGCAACACAGAAGAGGGACCGTTTGAGATAGGCTCTGAAGGACAAGCAGCATTTCAGCAGGCAGAAAAGTATAGGAAGCGTACAAAGTCACGTGTCACTTGACAACAGGGATACGTTCTGAGAAATGCATCGTTAGGTGATTTTGTCCTTGTGTGAACATCATAGAGTGCACTTACACAAATCTAGGTGACATAGGCTACTACACACCTAGGCTAGATGGTACTAATCTTATGGGACCAGCATTGTATATGCGATCTGTTGTTGACCGAAACATCATTATATGGTGCATGAGTGTACAAGTCAGGGAGAACAAAGGCAAATGGAGAAATGAAAAAAACAACTGACATAGCGGGGGATCTTCAAGTAAGCTAAGTAGGAGAAAGAAAATATAGTATTTATGTTGTGAGAATTTAAAAATAAACAGTTCCGATTGGTTTATTGGACGTCAATTGCTATTTTATTCTATGTTTGAAAAACAATCTCAATATCTCATCCTACATGCAAATTTACAGATAAACCAGAAAAGAATAAGATAGTATTACAGCAACAAAAATGGTTAAAATGGTCAGTTCACTAGGTCATCAGTAACAACCAGATAGTCAACCTAGTATCCCTGCTAGGAATTAACCAGTTTAAATGGATGCCTAGCCCTATTTCAAGGCCTCAATTGCTACATGATATACCTACTACAGAATTGGGAGCATTCATTTTTAGGATTGGAAACCAGCTCTTACATTAAGGGATCAAGAGGACAACAACTAGTACAGTGTTCAATATAACGTGGAAAATCAAAAAGCAGCTAACTAAATGGCCTGCGTGGTTCTAGCCACTACAGAATATCAAAAACCACAGGGAAAGTGCCAAATATTAAAATGATTAATATTTTCTTTTTAAGAAGAATATTTTTCACAACTGACGCCATCACAGTAATTTGTACAAAGAGAATGCTTAATAAACACTTGTCAGATTAAAAATAAATCTAAGCAGGGCTATAAAATGCATACTGTTTTGCCACCCACTATTACAATATTAATTATGTTACTTCACATTATATTACAATAAATAAATCATATGCATACATTGCTCAATATTACTTCACAGCATAACCAAAAAGGTACTGTGGTATAAAGGAAAGAATCAGAGATTTGAAGCCAAAAGACCAAGGTGTAAGTGAAAAGCCATTGCTAACACTGTTGCTTCAAATCACATGAAGCATTTTAGGTCTAGTAACCTGAGCTCTGTTAGCTTTCCATTTACTCATCTGCAAAATGAATACGACAGCAATAACTACGCACAGTCTTATGCGTAGTTATGGCGACAATTAAATGAGATCGTGCATGTCAAGGGACTCTGTAAACTAAAAAGTGCTACACAAAAAACTATTAAGTTGACTGTTTCCTAGTTGATTTCCTATCCCCAGATATATCTTCATTTCCTCTCTTTCCTTCATCCTACACAATTTGATCTATCAGCACATCCTGCAAGTCCTCAAAGTGTATTCCCAATCCTCCCCCGTATTTTCCCACAACCACTCCTTCTAGTGTGAAGAACCATTAGTTCCCATCCAGACTCCTGCAGGTACCTTCCAACTCGTCTCCCTGCTTCTCCTCTTGCTCTCTCAACATCCTCTAATCCATACCAGAGCCAAAACAATCTTCTAAATATCTAAATCAAATTGCTTCACTCACCTGCTCCAAGCCTCACTTCATACTAAGAGGAAACCTCAACTCCCAACCATGGCCTGGAAGGCCCTCCATGACCTGGTCCCTTTGAGACCTTGTGGTCCCTTTAAGACCTTATTGCCCATCATTAGTCCCTTCATTCCTGGTACTACAGCTGCAGGGGCCTCCTGGCTGTTCCTTAAACACTCTGCAAGCACACGCCTAACTAGGGGTCCTTGCATTACCTGGTTCCTCTTTCTGGAATGTTAAAGAACTCAGTACTGCTCACTCCCTCACTTCATTCCAATCTGTTCAAGTGTCACTGCCTCGAAAAGGCCTTCCCTAAACATAACCCTTTGTGAAAGGGTGCGTTCTTGCCTGTCACTATCTTATTGCTCTACTTTTCTTTAAAGCCCTTATCAGTTCCAAAATCATATCATTTATTTACTGTTTACTTTTCCACTAGAATATAAATACCATGGGGGCAAGGACTTTGTCTATTCTTGTTAACAATCGTATCTGACTTATTTGCGAAGAGTAGGGGCTCAATTAAAAATTTGCTTAATGAATACTGAAAACATTTTTCACATCCCCTTTAGTTTATGTGTTCCACAGAAAACAGTAGAGTGTCCATAAATAACTTCAATGCCACTAGTAAAACCTGAATATTTGAATAGCCTCAAAAGGCTTTATCCCACCTTGGAATTCGAAGTGGACTCCAAGAAACAAAGTCTGTTGCCAAATCCTTCTGCTGCCAAACATAGTTTCTGTTGTTCTTTGTGGATGGTGGCGGTACACTGCAGAACCACTTCATCATCCTGCAAAGGGGGAGGAAAAGAGGAAAAGAAGTGAGATTTGACATGACTAGACAGTCTAAATAAGATCTAGACGAATATTATTTTAGTGCATTTTAAAAGTTAGAGAAAAATGTAAGAATGGCTGTCTAAGAAAAGCCACAGAATCAATTCCTGGAGCACTTTTACTTGCAAAAAAGGTAACTGGGCGAGGGGAGGTGGGGGAAGTTATTGCCATTCAAGGCAATCGACAGTCTTCTCACTGTCAATACTGATCCCCAGAGGCAACTTGCGTAGAGAACAGAAAAATACAGGCTTTCCATGTTAGCGCTCTTACACACTGTTTTAAACATCAAAATTAACAAGAAATTGTCTGATATATTCCTAGGACATCAAATACCATCAAGAATGGAACAAACTCTAACAGCAGGCATACACATCGTTCCCAAACTAACACAGAAAAACAGGTCAATGATAGAACTTCTGGGTTCAAATCGACCAGAAAAATCATCTTAGTTCAACCACACATTGTCTACTTGATCACATTTGAAATAATCCTGTATTGCTTAATGATGTACAGAGAGATAATTTGTTAGTTTAGCCCTCTGAAATCCAACACTAACTTTCAATCAATTAATCAAGCAGGATTACAGGAAAAAATATACAAGGGAAAAGATGATAAATGCGATGACTCAGTATAGGCAGCATGAGTACTGCAAGAAGCTCGGACTCTAGAAAGAGCAACAGCTGAGATTCCCAACCCAGCCCTGCCATGCACAGGATCGGTGATCTTAGGCAAAGTATTGAATCTCTGTGCGATAAAGCACTTTACACAGTGATTGACATACAAAAGGCACTAAATAGACAATAAATGGAAGATACTATCATTTTTAAACAAAGTGTCTCACTTTAACAGGTTCTAAGTGCCAAACTCCTAAAGAATCAAACCATTTATATTTTGACATTTCAACCTCAAAGAAACAGGACACTTAACGGAGTAGTAAAAGAACAAATATATTCATTGACTTTGTTAATTAGGAACATACAAGTATATCCTAGAAGACCCTCACCAGGGTAGAACGGCAGAGTGGAGGTGAAAAGATGTAATAAATATTCAGAAGCAGAAAATAAGCCTTTTGGATTAACCCGAAGAATATGCTATATTAACTGGAAAAGTGTAACACTAATTTGCATTTAAAACCCTACAATGCTATGTATTTGCTTATTTCCTATATGGTAACAGCAATACTTAATAGCTGGCTTATAGCACCAGTCACAGGCCAAGTCCAATCTCTTAATAATCACTTCCAACTATCCCTCCAGGTGGGCATTAATTTCCAGTGAACATTCAATTGTTACATTTAAAAAGTCATTTGCTAAAAAAATAGCATTATTTTCATAGAATGAGTATATCTGAATATTAATTCACGTTAAGCATGGCTATAATAAAAAATAATGAAGCATTTTTGTTGCTTATATAATCTGTAAGATCAAAGATACATTGTGTTTTCCAAATACGCAGTGTAATAACAAAAATCTGAATTGTGCTGACATGCTCAGTACCTTACTAAATAAATCCCCACAGTCCTTTACTGTCTCGTCTCTCACCCTGTGGAACTAACTCTAGCATGTAAACGTCACTCTTGGGTAAGACAGGCTCCTTTGAATGCTGGAGGCTATCTAATCACCATTTAAAAAATAATCGCCTTAATGTACTAATTAAAGACAGTTTGGGAATGAGAATAAGAGAATATAGCAAGGTATAGGACAGATGAGAAAAACAGTGCTACCCAGTAATCCCCAAAAGAAGAGAAGGCACACTATATTTACCAAAAGTATAGTGTATGCCAGTCCTGACATTAACTTATTTAATGCTTATAATATCTCTGTAATATAAAGATTATCCACACATAGAGAAGGAAAATGAGGCTCAAAATAACTTTTTACTCACAGAGGGCTGATCATCTATATTTCCAGGAACTGATCATTAAACCTAATTTATCCAAATCTAAAAGTCCTCAGCCCCATACCGCTTCTAGAGGCTTAATTGATTTTTACTACTTTTATCTAGAGAAGTACTTCTCAGTCTTTAACACGTGTCCTATAACCTGTGGGTCTTGCTAAAATGCAGATTTTGATTCTCTAGGTCTTGGATGGGGCTGATTCTGCATCTTTAACAAGTGCTCAAGTATGAGGGCCATGCTCTGAGGAGTTCGGATCCCGAATGGGTCCCTGAAAGGATATGGATCCCAGGAGAGTTGTGAGTAGTCTTTTATAAGAATTTGGAGGCAATCAATAACAGCTGAAGTTTAAAATAAGTCTATGTACTTTGGACAGAACCAGAAATGACAGCACACGTGGAGATGCTCATTAATATGTGGTATACACCAACCACGCAAGGGAAAGGAACAAACAAATAATATATTGAACTGCTCTATTAAATTTATAGAACTTACTCACTTGTGCAAAGTTTCCCTTCAATCCAGTGCCTCAACATTGTGTGGTGGAGTACCTGGCCATGAAGCAACGTTAAGTTCAAGAGAGCTCTGCTACACCACCAAGGAGAGAGGCTTTCACTACAACCTTCAATCATGATTCAACTTTCAACGACAGAATCTGGCCTGACATACTTATAAGGCTTTTTTCAGTTTATCTGGGAGCTGGTTTTATTTTACATTCCAGCAAGAAAACGGTTCCTTTTTGACAGAAAGTACAATATACTGAGCATTGATGGACCAAACACCAATTCCCGAACACCTGCCAATTCCCTTTAATCAACCCATCATTCACCTCAAAGCACAATTTTTCTCCAGAACCACTGTGGTTTACAAGACTACTGACTGTATTTGAGAAGTTTTGATAAGTCACTTTATTTTTTATTTATTATAACCCATGTGTAGTAAATATGGTTATTCTCAACATATACATGTGTGCATAAGGATATAGGTACGTACACACATACACACAATCTATTTTCTATTTCAAGAAAGACTAAACACTGCCTAATACTCATGGGATCCAGACAGTTAACAATTGAGGTAACAGAACAATAAGAATATAATTAAAGATGTCTTGGGGCCGGCCCCGTGGCTTGGTGGTTAAGTGAGCGTGCTCCGCTGCTGGCGACCCGGGTTCGGATCCCTGGTTCGCACCGGCGCGCTGCTTCTCCGGCCATGCTGAGGCCGCGTCCCACATACAGCAACTAGAAGGATGTGCAGCTATGACACACAACTATCTACTGGGGCTTTGGGGGGAAAAAATAAATAAATAAAATCTTTAAAAAAAAAAAAAAAAGAATATAATTAAAGATGTCTTCTTGGGCCATAAAGCCTCTTCTGAATTAGTCTTTGCTACCCAGACCCTGAGGTCCAGACTCCCAACTCTCCTTTCTCGCCTTCACATTTTGGTCACATGTGCCATTAGTGTATCTGAGGGCTTGAATGCACACAAGGATCACCATTCTTCCTGCCTTAGCCCATAAAAAATCACCCTTAAATATTCACCTTTTGCTATATTTTGCTTTTGAGTTCCTATGTCTTATATCCTAGTTCTTAGGGCAACAAATTTTGATTTAACTCAAAAGAAATCATATTCCATAACAAAAATACTACCAAAGTGAATTCTGTTTATGTTCTGCTATTTCATTTTTAAAAATTTCAAAGTCTGTTAATTAATCAACCATGAATAACTGCTATGATCTTACGATACAGCATCTTGCTGTTCCAGGAAACACTTCAATTTATACCATTCCCTACATTATAAAAGAAACTTAAAGAAACAAAATTATCTAATCTTTCTTTAAGCAAATTCTCAATAAAATAATAAATTCTAAAAAAGAAATCTTTTAGAGGAAACCTCATGAACAGCTAGATAAATGGCAGTGCTTAAGTATGAGTGATATCCAGTTGATAGTTATCAAGTCCTACGCATTCTACTCCATCAACACCTTTCAAATCCATTAGTTTCTCACCACCCGAGCTACCACCATCTCTTGTTCAGACATCTTCAAAATCCGCTGAATAGTTTTCCACACCGAAAAACCCCCTTCCATTGGTGCTTCACCTTGAGGTCACACCATGAACCTGACTATACTGTTTCCTGGTTTAAAATCTTTTAATGGCTTCCCATTGTTCTAAGGAAAAAGACCAAAAAAATCCTTTAGCCTACAAGGCCCTGCATTGCACTGTCTGGTGCCAGCCTTCATTCCTATGCTCTTATGGGACTTTTGCACATACTATTAAACTCCCTCCCCTAGTTAAGACTTGTTCATCTTTTAAGTCTCAACTCAAGCATCCTCTCCAGAGATGAGTCTTCCCTGACCCACCAGCCTATGTCAGTTCCTTTGTTTTATGCTCCTAAAGCACTATATTCCTTCCTTCCATTTCCTTCCTTGTCATTACGCATTCATTCATGTAACTATTACAGTGTCTAACACTGTGCCTGGCAAATATAACATACTCAATAAATGATTACTTATCACAATGCACTTTACGAGTGTTCATAAATATGTGCTGCCAGGCTGACAAATGGAGTTGCTTTTTAGAATTGCCAAGGTAAGATCCTTTTTAATTTCCAATTAAAGCTAGTGTTGTGTGATCCCATTAAATGATTTCACGGTTACATGCAGCCAGGAAATAGGACAATATTGGAGGAAATAATCAATCCTGTCTATTATATCTATGACAAATTCTAATGTATTATAAGTATCCATAGCATCAACGTAAAACTCAATTCGATCACTGAAAAAAAAGCAATCCAGTCCCTCACTTTCCCCCTATTTCCACAAAACATAATAAAACTTGGATTACAACTCTTTCCATATACAATCTAAGCAAACCAAACAAACTCTACTCTTGAAAAGTCAAGAAATGCCCCTAAAAGCCCTGGTCATTAAAAAGTCCCTCACATCAAGCCAGGTACTTTCCTTAGACTCTTACTATGCTTGTCTTTCAAAATGTTTATCCAGGGGTTTAGACTTTCTGTAACTGGTCCTCTGCCTCAGTTATGTCCTGATAATTTCTCCA